AAAAAAAAAAAATTTACTTTTGAGAAGTTGATTTAGAAAGTAAGGGAAATACCCTTACCAAATCTCTTGAGGCAGGACTTTTTCTGGCAGTGTTCTGACATAAAGACTCTGTAGAATTAAATATGGATACCATCTAGGGTATCTGTAACTAAGATTATAAACAGAAACCAAATGCATGAACTACAAAGAGAAAAAAAAACTGCTTACCTGGATAATGCTTCATCAAATGCTCCAAAAGTGATTCCTGTGTTACTACAATCTGAGCTGCATTCATATCAGATATAGCACAGCAAACAACTTCAGCCAAGGGCACAAACTGAGACTGATCTATGGGGTTCATTTGCACTGGAAAAACATCACCTAAGTAGAGATTTTAAAAATGTAGGTGATAAATCTGACAATAAGAAATGTTGCAAACTAGGACAGTTATATAGACTAGAAGGTGGAATTGCTCTTCTTTCATCAGTCTTTATTCTGTCTGTTGAGATGACATGTACAATAGAAAAACTATGGAAGGAAAGGTTTACATTGTGGTCTCTACTTCTTTGAAATGTATAGCGTCTGAAACTACTCTCCAAGCAAGACAGTAAATTTCTATCTGAAAGAATTCAGGAGGTCAGGCATAGTTATACAGCTGTTCCGGTCTCTCAAAATATACACATTTTAGCCAGGTGCCAATGGCTCACCCCTGTAATCCTAGCTACTCAGGAGGCTGAGACCTGAGGATCGAGGTTCAAAGCCAGCCCAGGCAGAAAAGTCTGTGAGACTCTTATCTCAATTGCCCATCAGAAAACCAGAAGTGGCACTGTGGCTCAAGTGGTAGAGCACTTGCCGTTAGTAGAAGAGCTCAGAGTCAGCGCATAGGTCCAGAGTTCAAGCCCCCTGTCCCACAAAAAACAAACAAACACATTTTCATGGCAGCTATCTGACAAAGGAAAGAGGTGGCAATGCTGCTCCTGTACTTAAGATACATAAAGTTATAAAAAGCTCAAGTAATGTCTCAAGGTTAAAAGCAAATAAAATAACCCGGCACCGATAACTCATACCTGTAATCCTAGCTCCTAAGGAGGCTGAGCTCTGAGGATTCAGTTTAAAGCCAGCTCAGTCAAAAAACAAAAGTACATGTGACTCTCCCATTAATCAGCAAAAATATGGGAATGGAGGTGTGGCTCAAGTGGTAGAACACCAGCCTTGAGAAAAAAAAAAAAAGCTGAGCAAGAAAGAGTGTGAGATCCTGAGTTCAAGCCTCAGTACCAGCATAAAAATACAAATGAAGATTGGACTGGATGGATGGATAGACAGACAGATCTTCAACTCCTAGTCCAGTAGTGTCACCATTATACTCCTTCCTCATTGGAATGATCAGAAGATTTGAAGCAGAAAAGACCAGATGTATTTTCCAATTAGTAAGACAGACACAATACACACCAATACACACAGACTATATTACCCTGGTTGGACAGAATTTTTTTTTTTTTTT